GATATAGATAATTTAAACTTGGTTTATTATAATTTAATTGATAAAATTCTCTTGTAAAAATAAAAGGGAAAAAGAAAAAGAAAAAAGTAAGAGGAAAAAGAAGCATGATATCTACACACATTAGAATCAACGTATTTTTCTACTGTCATTCTGCTGAATAGTACCTAAGACGTTACAACAATTTTTACTGTGAAAGAAAACCGCATTGAAATTGTTCCATGAATTATAAATACACATATAAGTATCTAGATATCATCTTCTTAATATTTAGAACTGTTAAGTTGGACAAAAGACACTTCAAATTTCGGTGAGTGAATAATACCTATGTTATTTTTAGAGCTGTTTTAAAAATTTTTCTTTTTCGTGTTTTATGGTAATTGTGACAGGAACAATTTTTTACAATTTTTTAGAATTATTGTAAATGTATTTGTATTTATATTTTTTATTTTAATACCTTAACGAATTTTATTAAAAACATCCCTGAGGATGGTGTAAAATAACACCGAAACGTTGGCAATGATTTAAAATATAGTGTTCTTTTATTTATTGATCTTTATCCCACTAAAACCTTGACTTGGATAACTAATCAAGATCGCAAAATAGTGGAAACATAATAATAATAATTATTATTATTATTATTATTATTATTATAATTAATAATAATAATAATAATAAAAAATGGGGGTTCATGTTTAAGATTTCAAAGTAACGCCCCTCCCCACGTACAAGGGGTGAGGGAGATGGACAAATTTTAGCACTATTGTATTTCCCTTTCCCCCGCGGAATGATAAAATTTTGATTGTTGACATTTTTTGTCGTAGGGTGCTTATGTATTTCTCGAAATATTTTAAAGTTTCAGGTTAAAAAAAACCTATTATATATATATACTCGTATCTTTAGCAGATTCTTTGAATTATTATATTAAACTACTGATTTATTGTGCATCGAAGCCAAACCGATGAACGGTTTGTGAGATGCCAGTTTAGGTTATTTACCCCACACCACTAGTTCCCCATGGCGTAAGTCCATATGTTCATTTAACTTAAGAACGACGGCTTTGGTTTTCTCAATTGTTTTGGTGTAGACGGTTGGCGTTCTTGTATATCTCGAACCGCGGCGCATCACGTGTTGTTCCAAAATAAATTTTAAAACCCAGAGCCACGGTTAAACTTGTGTTTAAATATAACCGCTCTCCTCTTATAATCCTTTTCCGTAGCAACAACACAACTATTTCTAAAACAAAAGAAAAACAGCGAGGCGAATATCCCGTGTGCCTTCTTCATTAACGTATTATTAATATTTATTATTTTAAATACTATAAAGCCATAAGCAAATATATTATTGACTATGAGACTCGGCTTAAAATTTCCTACATTAAAACACAGGTACTTAAAATTGTGATACGTGATAAGTTACACATAATACGAGCAGGTATTTTCAATTAACGACTTATACGGGAATGAATTTTAAAGCATGAAGCAGTGTTAGCGCGATTATCACGATTAGATATAGGGTGAACTGTGTAAACAATACTTTATCGTGATTAACACGTTGCCTCTTTTGAACTGAAATCTTTGCCTTCCAATAGAAAATATTTATATCGTTCCAATTTCTATAAAAATGGATTCGATAAAAAATTTTAATTTTAATATATATATAATTGAAAATAATACCTAGATTCGAATATATCAGTATCAACAATCGCATGCTAGCTTTAATATACGTTAACCGAACAATTCCATAACTTATTAGTGTGTTCTGGTTTTTCTCAGTTTGATACTATTTCTGTAGTCCCGGGCGCTCACAATGTTTTCCAAACTCCCTCAGCAGGCACGAAATAGATGTTGAAAACAGCTGCTTTGTTAGATTTATATTTAACTTTTTCGAGATATAACTTATATACCATCTTAAATAACTACCGAAATGAAAACTTACGTTTTAGTTTATTTTTGCTGAAAAATATACCCCCCCTAAGAGCCTGAATGTAAGCTAAAAATAAAATACCATATCACACGGAAAAAATAATAATTTACGTATTTGGTAATTTTTATGATGAAAAAAAAAAAACGCAAAGATTCCATTCTAATACATGTGCCTAACTCAAAATTTTTTGAACGAATTCCAATGTTGAGTAACAAAAATAACATTTTTTGGCAACCTTTGATAACATAAACAAGATGTATCCCAACTTCCAACTGAAATATTTCCAGCGGCGAATTTTCTTAATTTCTTCACCCACTCAATCCCTCATATTCTTGAATTTGTTCAAGTAAATAAGAATATGTAAATTGTTGCCAGATACGTAAGATGTCTATTATATTATTAAGTTGACCCTAATAATTCCCCGTCTATCTTTTGATATTTAGGTACCTACAGGTTTTTCATTTTTATGCAACAAATAATTTTTTAATAGTATTATTATAAAATTCACTTGTTATTCACATAATATATTGGTGTTTTTTACATATTTTAATTGTTATTTTACCGAGTCTATTTTTATTTTAGTTCTAAGTTCTAATTGCCACCATTGAGTAGATATAGGATTGTTTAACAATTTCTCATAATGAAAATGTTTGCCTACCTTATTGGTGAAACAATTTCAAAACTATTCAACGTAAACTATTAGTGAAATTAAGTTAAATTAATTTAAAATCCAATTAAATTTTAATTCTTTTGTTGTGCATGCACTTTTATTTATTTTTTCTTTTTTGTTTTTAAAGAGATGTTCTTTGGGAAAAGATATTACCAAAGAAGCGAACCTCAACTCCCGCTAAAGAAACGGCAGTGGTATGCCCATTACCCCCTAAACGAAGTGAGCCCTCCAAAATACCAATTGTGGAGCCACCTAAATCACCAAGAACACCATCTCCGGTACCTTCCAATCTCTCGACTCCAGAATATCCCCTGTCTCCTCAAGCCACTTCAACCCCTATTAAACGAAGCCCAGAGAACCCAAAACCTCTGGAACCTCCAGCCAAGCCTCCTAGATCTCCATCTCCACATCCAATAAAATCTGAAACACTTGATGATATTGAGTACGAGGATGAAGATGAAGAAGAAGAGGAGGAAGCAAGCGATGTTGAAGAGGACGATGAAAATTCGGTCATCTCATCTTCCCCTAGAAGGGCTCAGTTATCAAATACTGTTAACGAGTTCATTAACCAAGAAGTAAACCAGCCCAATTCCTTACGCCTGAATCAGACAAGGTAGAGAGTGTTTTTTTTTTGACTTTTACTGTTGGTCAGGTGCGAACTTTAGTTTGATAATAATTTGGGTAAGTTTGACCAATTGTTTCTTTCGTTATTGTTTTTTTTTTGTTTCACTAATATTTATTGTTTGTAACTGTTAGATAATTTATTGGAGAGTTTTAAATAATTTTAATGAATAAAATGTTTTAAAAGTTTTTCAGATCTTTATTTTTTCATTTTATAATCATTCAGAAATCATTATCCCGTCGGTTTCGAATATGTGATTGGTTCAAATCTTTATTAAAAAAAAAAACAATTGTTGTATAAGTGTCACCTTATAAATAAAATTATATCACTTCATTTTCAACAAAATACGATGGTCAAGGTCAAAAATTCGAGCACACTAACAATTATAAATTAACGCTGTCAGAATATGAATAAAAATAGACTGGAAAAATGCCAAACTTCTCAATTTTCCTCACAATGAAAAACAGTTGAATTAATTTTACAAATCTCTAGATTAATTAGGCAGAAAAAACTGATTTGATTTCAAATTATGTTCAAGAATGTATTTGAATATTTTTTCGACAATGTACCTATATTTTTAATAAAATGTAAATCTATATAGATACATATTGACTGCAGTTTTTATATATTACAGGATATAATATCCGTAATTCCAAGCAAAAAACAAATTAGCTGCTGCGTAAATCGGAATATTTTGTTTGCGAAAAAAAATTTGCATAAAACTAATACCTGATAATAGTGATAATGTAAATAGGTAATAATGATAAGATCACACGTTACTTCATTATGTAGGTTGTTATTGAAACGGAAACAGAACTTTTGGGATCAGAAAAGTTAAAGATTTGTGCTGTGATAAAAAACGAAATTATGCGCATACACATACATCATTTCAGTTTCCGTTCATTTCATTCGCCTTGTTACAAAACTAAGTCGTGTTTATTTAAATATATAATTTACAACGTTACGTAACTGTACCATGTTTTTGCCAATTTTATTTACTTTAGTGACGATTAAAGCTTGTTTTGTGAAAAAAATTGTATTTCACTTTGTTGTTCGTTTAGCACTAAACATTCGACTAAAGTAAATGAAGTTAGTAAATGAAAAATAAAAAATACTGCCGCATTTTAATAGAAATATTCGTGAGCAATTTTTTAGGTGGGCCACTGGTGCACCTAGAACCCAACTCCTTCCTCCTAAGGCGGAGTTATTAAAGGAGAATCAAATATAGAAAACAAATGGACATTAATATAAATAAAAGGAAAACCATTTTTTAGTACGTCCAGTGTTACTTATCAGTATCACATTCCGATCTGACGTTGTTTAATCTAGGATAATGTCGGTAAATAGTAATACCTATATTTTTCGTACAGAAATTATGTAGGTACAGGCATTTTATCAAAATCCGGTTATGTAACTCACGAAAGTAGAACTTAAATCTCTCATTATCCTCTGGATGAAAAGATGTTTTTTCGAATAATCGGATTACTTACTACTCGTGATTCTGACTCATTTGCTATATTCACGCCGGAGAAGCCATATAATTTTTTATAGATCTTTTTCATGGGTATTTTTCACTTTATACGGTATGAATAGGAAACATTTAGATCGATAGCAATAATGATTATTTTTAATTATTGATGGATTACTTAATATAATTTTAGTTATTCTATCCAAGACGAAGATTCATCCTCCGGTTTACCCTTTACTGCTTCTCTCAATTCAGGGACCAGGTAAATAACTTGAGACTGAAGCATTCCAAACGGCCGTCTACCTGGTCGTTAAGCCGGCCCCAGGTAGTTTTTTTTATATCATTTATATAGGTAGTGGTCTCACCGTACGTTTCAGATTTCCCTGCAACTGTCGGAGTTGAATTGTTTAAAACAATGAAGGAATATACATATAGTAGTTAAAAATAGTATGTGGTTGCACTATACCGATTATTTAAATTTCTGTCAGTACTTTTAGATTTTATAAATTGTTGAGCGCTGTTTGAAATGGCATTGTAAATGATATTATGTAGTAGACAATCAAAATGACTCATTCCTATTGAAGTGCATTAATTGTAAATCAATATGGCAAACCGTTCAGGCGTACTTTTAATTTGGAACAAATGCGCAATTCAGTATCTCCTTCATGCTAATGTTAACAATTGGGTAATTGAAAAACATGTCGCTTAAGGTTATTTGTATTTTAACAGTTTCATGTTTCATTTGAAAATTAAATATTTATTAAATAAAAAGTTGTCCTTTACCTCTATATAACCACCATATATAATACGAACTGTTTGTTAAGGATACCAAAATAAGAGAATATTTATTAAATTCTAAAATAATTTCAAATCACATTTCCAATGAAATCAGTAGTTGAATAAATAAATGACTATTAAAAAGTTTGTAACATAATCCTATCAGTTTCTGCAAGAAATGCAGCGATTAAAAAAAAATCGTATTTTTTGCCGTTATCATTTTAAAATGTTCAAATGTTTTTCTAATTACGTACCTATTTAGATTTCGCAGAACTTTTTTACATATGTCCACGTTTTGTCCCATTCAAATATTTTAATTTTAAAGCAAAGAAGTACATTACAATAAAAACAGAATTATGGATCACCCTGTACATTGATGACACAAGATTGCTAAAACAAAAACTGTTGCTGAGTTTTCAAACTTTGCGGAGACATTATAGCAATTAAAATTGAGGGGAAAAAAGAATATATTTTTATTAACGGAATTTGTATCAGCAAAGTGCGGATTATCGATATCGAACAACACTTTTTTCTTGTGCCTTTTAAGATGAGCTCTTGGAAAACTGGCTTTTTTAATATATAAAAACATTCTATTACTCCCTACCATTTCCGCTGTTGTGTATGAAAAAACAATTCCTCCATCCTCCATAAGATTATTCTAATTAATAATATAAAGATCTTTAACGAGTGTCATTTGGATCTAATTAACCATTTTGAAGTTATTTAAATAATTTATTTTTGACAGTGAACTTTTCATTCAAGTGGTTTCTAACCCATGTTCACAGAATAAATGATATTTCCAGTATCGTGTTTCAATTTGGCACCGCATTTTAGAAACATGAATATTTTCGAATATCTTTTTTTTGACCCTTACTGTCAAATTTTTATTAACGAAAAATCATATTTTCCGTTTAGCCTGCTGCATAACACATCAATATTTGTTACAGCCAACTCATTTATGTAATTAGTAAAATCTGAAACAGAGATCTAAATCGAATGGGATTTAATAATTGTTTCCACAAATTAATGACTGATAGAACTAGATTAAATTGCAATAAAGATTATGAAAATTATTAATCTAATTTAATACAAAATTCGAGCAACTATTTGCATATTGATATTTTCATCTCCAGAAACATTATCAAATTTTCTAAAAAGTAAGTAGGTATTATATTTTTACAGTACAATTTTTAATTAACATTTGTAGCGATTTACAAGTGTAATTTTTTCTTAGGTAATGTAAAAGCATTTTATACTTGTGTTAAAAGTTTTTACATTACAATTAGATACTTATATTTTGGGAAGAATCTACAATGTATATTAAAAACATGCTTGGCGGTCGAGTTGGCGGTAGTATTAAAATATTAATTATAATTAATTTTAATTATAAAAATTAAGAATTAAATAGTTACGTAGGTAAAAATTAAGAAGACGTTTTGTTAAGTTATTAACAATCTTGGAGATTAAATTATTAAAAATAAATAAATAAAAAAGTTACCTACCAACAATTCCTATCGGTAAGTTTAAATCTTTTAGAATTTTAAAGATGCTTTTTCACAGGTGAAGTTTGTTACTAATAATATGTGTACCAAATTTGAAAAAAATCCTAAACTGAAAAATTTGGTACCCGACTACATATAGTAATTTATAAATTAAAAATAACAATAATAAATTTAAGATTGTATAACTCCGCTAATATTCAATTTTCGGGAAAGTGTCATAGGATCTTGTACTTATTATCAGTATTTTTGTGAATGGAATATCTTTTAAATTTTTTGCCCATAATTTCCGAACACCCTGTATGTAGGGTATCATAAGAGTTCATTAATTTAATTCTTATTAAAAAATCACGATCTCATTTTTAATGAGAAGAAAAACATATATAGATATACTTTTGCTAAAGCTGCTTAATATGATGTATTTGCATTGTTTTATTCAATTTTCCCACCTATCGCCAATTCAAATTTATATATAAGAATGTCACACCCCTAGAACGTATCTAGGCTAAGAAAACGTCGAAATATTTTTAGATTTGGCTAAATCTCATAAACAGGTTTTGAAACCTTAACATTGACCCGTATCCCCTATTTCCACAACTAATAAATTAAATAAAGAAAAATGTACTACATAAAAAATAAAGAGTGTAATAATGACATCACACACGAAGCTTCTTGAGAGAATTTTGTACAATTTTTAGATTAAACGATGTTCACCGCATTACTTATTCCATTTGGCATGGAACCAAATTCAGATTTAATAGTAATTTAGACTTGGACAGTAGCAATATTGCATAATGAATAACCAGATTATTTTTGGTTTCTGTTATCCCTGTAAAAATAAATCGAATGTCCTAATATCAATAACAATAATCTACGACAAATACGTATTTTAGTATGTATGTATGTATGTATCTATGTAACATATTGTATAATAAAAATTACATTATATAACTGCTGCATATTCAGCGACAACGAGAACTTATTAATTCCATTTGAAATTGTTTATGCGATGAAAAACATGGGAAACAAAATACAGTCCACTAATAATTATTATGTTTCAAGGTTAGCTGCATGGAAAGGACTAAACGAAAACGAAACGAAACAAACCGCTGCATAATAATTGTATTTTATGATTCGTTATTTGTGATAGAAGCAATAGGTATAGGTAGACGAATTTTGGATTTTGGAATAGTTTATGTGCCTTAAAGAATAATAATAGTTTGCTAATTCTAGATAATTGAAAACAGTAATTGAAATAATTGTATTTGAAAAGTAATATATTACTGCTAAAAACGAAAATATTATAAATACGAATGGATATTTTCGAAAACATTTGGAAAAAAATTGAGTTATATTTGTGTAACTTCCTGTAGTGCGGTTTATAGTCGAGATCCAGAAAATAAGAACTAAAAGAGGAAGAGCTATTTAATATAATGACGACGCAGAGAAGGGACTTAATTGGCATTTAAGAAATTGAATGAGGTAGTTAAGTCGTCGTGTGCAACTGAGAAAGTTTATATGTATGATAGTTTACTGTTTCATTAACACACTGCTGTAGTATAGTTCGCGAATAATATACAAGCACTTTATAATTACCTTCAATCATCTTGTTGAAAGGTAAATATAATGGGGCATTTACAAAAAAATCTATTCTTATCTACAAATATAAAGTATAGTAAAAAAAAATAAGGTGAATTAACAAGAATTTATTATTATTATTTTAAGTTTTGTTAAAATTACCAAAATGAAAGGTACCGGTGGATTTGTTACAGGTAATTAAATAATAGAATTACAGGTGTGTACATTACGTGGTACGTTCACACATATACTTAATGGAAGATAAGCTGTAAATAAAATGTATGAGTAAGCATCTTATCTATTGCACAAATAAGTTCATCGTTGACAGGTGAACAATAAAACTTATCTATCACAGAATTTTATACATGTTATGTATATAAAGTGGTCGTTGCCACGATTTACCTTTGCTTTATAATTTAAGATGATTTTCCTGCTACTATGCTTTCCGTTTTGGGCAATGGTATATTTATATTTTTTTTTTTGGAAATATCGCTTTAATCCCATATTTAACTTCAATAAATGTACGATGTTATTGAAAACTATCTAAATTGTTTAAATTCATACAATACAAATTTTATATGCAGTTCTGACCCTGTCTACATTATACATTTGTTTTCTGTTTTCCTATCATTCCATTTGTATCTGTATAAAAAGATTTTGATAAGTTTTTCTTGCTGAAACAGTGGTTTTTTTAGAACGGCAGTATTTTTTTTTTTACTCAAAGGACACAGTGAAAAATCAGTGATAAAAAATACGTATGGTGCACGTACACTCAGTTAGAAACAGGTAGGTTATAATTAAACAGTCTTATCATTTAAATCGATGTATGAATAGAAAACAAAGTGTTCTCTCAATGTCGAAATAGAAAGCAGATAAATAATTTAAAAGTGGAAGAAGGGGGGGCTAGAAGTGTAATTAATAATTACCAAACCGTTTTCCCAAACACAAATAAAATCTTCTAGTTCGGTATTTTCAATTTTGAGCGATAGGTCGACTATAATACGTACAGTTCTACCATTGGCCTGCTACACAGACGTCACACGCACCGGGTAGTGGGGTTTTAACCAAGAGCTCTTCTACAGAGCGGTGAGGCTTCCCAATCTCACAGTTGGTTCATACTTTGTGTGTTGTGTACCGGTGAATTCAACGAACGTTAAGGTAAAATATTTTTCATATTACCCACGCATTCCTAAGCTTTCAGTTAGTGTTTTCAGCGATGAGTTATGCAATTTATGCTTCTAATACTATTACAATTACAGCTTTCTAAAATTAAGAGCTTGTATCGCATTTTCTTCCAAAATTAATTTATATATAGGTATAGGTTTAAACAATTTAATTTGCATACTTTTTTTTTTAATTAACATACAATTTCAACAACTGGATTTCTTTTTATTTATTTTAAATGCCTTAATGACGATACCTTGAATTATAAAAATTGAATGCGGGGAAAATTTAACTTGAAGATCGAATCTGACATTACGTAACTTCGTTGGCAATTGTAAACTGCGCTCAACGGTTCTCTATCAAGCAGGAAAGCTCTATTGCGGTATTTTTCGAATTATTAGCAATTCCAAAGTTAACCACAAATATTTTGCCGAGAAAAATTATTCAGTTTGTAAAGTTTTAAGATAAATATTTATTGCGGTTAAACGGAACGTTAAAAAACACGAGTAGATAGGTATAATACTTTAATAATATTTATCAACTTTTAACATAAGCTAATAAAAACATAAATTTAATAACGTTGTTTCTAACGTTTTACCACTAAAAATATCTATTGGCAGGTAGGTACCTACATAATATATACCTACTGATTATTAATACGGTACCTACAATAATTTCTTCAAAACGGTGTTGAGTACATTGAATCGAATTGAGGATCTATCGTCTTAACATGCACATTGAAAATTAAATATATTATGCCATTTCACATTCCACATTTTATTGATTCCACAAAATAACTGAATCCGTACCACGGTACGGATTCGTATTACTTGTCCGCTCACGTGCGAAGGGACAGTAGTACCTATCTACATAATGTACTTGTTATAAAAGTATAACGAAGTACCAGGTGCAAAATTATTGGGACATTTTACTAAACTGATTGTAAAGGGTAGAATAATAAATTACAAAGCGTCGTTGATGGATAAAAACATTTTCCTATTGTTTTTGGTTTAAAACTGTAAAATAATCTTCTATGTGGACATATCAAGTTGAAATACTTATACGTAGTACAAAGGTTGTGAAGGTAAAATTTCTTCTATGTAGAATATATTTACATAGAAGCTATTCGGAGAGGAATTTAATTCTTTCGCACATATGAGGTTTACAAAAACACAATTTTATGCAAGACTGATTATTTACAATTAGTAAATAGGAGGTTTTATTAAATGATAAAAGGAATGAAAATCAATCAATTGCATCTACAAATTAAAAACCGGTCTAAACGCCAATACTAAATAAGCCATGCGCGTTTTTGCCTTCATGGTTTTCAAGATTGATGTTTTCTTGAAGCTAAATAAACGTTAGTAAATAAAATACCTACTGTCTACATACAGGGTGCGGATTAGAGCGTCGAAGTACGATATCTCCGTTATTATAGAAGATATCAAAAAAAATTATTTACAAAAATTATAGCCAACTTAAAACTGCACATTTTAAAATTATTTTCTTATATACGGAATGTTACGTATTATCAGGGTGAACCAAACATACTATTTTTTAAATGGGACACACTATATATTATTTCAAGTTTAGATTAAGTTGCTCATCTCTCCCATGCTTCCAATATAGGGTTTAATTATGTTATACAGGGTATTTCAAAAGTTATGGTCAATTGTATACGAGAATCATTCCCATTTCAGCGTCCTGTATACCCTAAACGGAACAACTTAACAATAATTTTTTGCAGGCATAAGTTTTTGATTTTGGTACAGTTTTATATACGAGAAAGTGCTATTTCTTTATTATTGCAACAGTTGAATATAGGGCGAGCCAAATCTGGAGCACATAATTTTCTCAATTTTTTTAAATGAATGAATTTTAAAAACTGAAAATACACTTTATGTTCTTTTAGAAATATTGTACTTCGACGCACTAATGCCACACCCTGTATATAAATAAAAATTAAATGCTGTTCGTTGGTAACAGCTTAGGAAAAGAAAAATTGGGAAAGAAAAGACAAATTTATTGAAATTTGGACAGGACCAGTCGGGTCAGCTAGTTATAAATAAATTTCAATTAATTTTTTATTTTTTTTTAAGTGGATTAGATACGTTATTTTTATTTTTTTTGTAGGAATTAGAAAGTTTGAACAATAGTAATGGCAACGACAAAATAAATGTTTTGTGATGGTAACGAATACGGAATACGCATTTTTATTTGAAGGTTATTTAACGAGGTTATGGCAATATTGGGAATCTACATGAATTACAAAACCATAAAATGCGAGAGATTCGCATACTATTATCTATAGTTGGTCGCACTAAAATTACGAGGGACCATAGCGTTAAAATGTTTGGTCCGAATGTAGATTATAAGGTATTATTCATTGTCAACGCAGCCGAAATCGATATTGGAGCAAATAAATCCTGTGTATTCCTTTAAAAAGCGCCCCACACACTTTCGGGCTTCGTGACAGTTATAACCGAACGTGAACCCGGCCGGTTCCCCGAATCCTGCTAGGACACACACACTCGTTTTCTCTCCGAACTGTTTTAACTGTTCCGTTTTAGTAGTAAAATGGCGTCCAAACGTATTTTGCGTTTACTTGGAATCACGGTACCACTTTTAAAAACGAAGAAGTTGAAAAGACAGCGTTCTAGATGGGTCAAGGAGTGGTTGTTGCAGAGGAAAACAGTACAGCTTTAAAATCTATCCGATCTAATATCCAACACGCGGTCCAATCACGTACAGTACTCGGAGCGCACACACTCTCAAGAAAGCAAACAGGCCGGTGAATCACGGCATCCGGTCCCGACGAAATTCAACTGGCACCTGATGTTATTCGGGATTACCCGTTCAGGATAATTTTATTCGAGATTGCACATACACTTCCATGTTTAACCGTACGGTGTAGTCACGTTCGGTTATAACTGTCACGAAGCCCGAAAGTGTGTGGGGCGGTTAAGGTTTCTTGTTAATTTTATAATTATTGATGTTCCGTTTGAAAACCGAAACCTTCACAACATTGAAAGGCGGTCATTATATTTTTATGCATATGAGTACGATGTATTACGGTTATTGGGAACATTTACTCAGATGTACAGGATATTTCAGTATTAAGCTTCACCAATTAGTGCAGACATAATACTCCATTACATTTTTAAACAGTACCTATTAAAAATGTAAAATTTTCTTAGACATTTATTTACTGAATTGCAGTTACATACAAAAGTATAGGTATAATATAGATAGTAATAAACAAGTGTTTAGTTTAGGATAATCAACATGTATGTATAAAAATCATTTGTTAATAATGTGCCAACCAACTCCTCTGTTCACAAGCTTGTGTGATAATTTTTTCAAATAATACCTAATATTAATTTGTTTTTCCATCTATGTATTTACACGATGCTTATTTAGTTTTATGCTTCAAGTCCTGCTCCTAAAATCACACTGATTCTGAAACACCCTGTTTATATGAAAACCATTCTCTCGAACGTGAGTTATGTCACGTACTGTGACTCAATTGCAGACTCGGGCAGATTATTATACTTAAACTTCAATGGCTATCATGAACTCAACAACATTCAAATACATATTTCTAATTACTATGACGTCATCTATTTTCACCGTTTCATTTACCTACCTGCTGTAGTAAGCAGTTCTTTGCCGACTTTTACATCTATCGAGTTGACAGTTCCAGAATACCGCATAGTTATTCCATTTAAACTGAAAAAGGTCTCGAATGCGACAAAGTGTGATAGTTTTATTTACTTGTAAAATAAACGCAATATGTAAATTACAAAATAATAAAAAAAGATACATTTTTTAAAATTATACTTACTTAATAAATATACGTTATTTAATTACATAAAGGTATTTATGTGGTATTAAAATAATAACTAAATTTGTCAAAAATAGAAGGGCCGTTCAAATAAATGTACGTTAGAATTATTTTTTTTTTCCATTTGCGACAGCGGCGGAACAGAAAGGATAATAAAATGGAAACATTTGTCCATCATTTTTCAGAATATATATAATTGAAAGGGTTCTCTTTATAGTATAACGTTACAAAACATTAATTTGATGTTATAAATTCACTTTCATTTTCAAGTCACTTTATGTAGCTAACTGGCTAATTCAAAACTGTCTGTATTCTTACCTATTAGTAGCTGAAAACAACTAACTGTATGTATTTAATTTTGTAATATCTAATTCTTCAAATTTATTTTTAGAGGTGATGAATTTTTAGACGATTTCCTAAGTTCTTTGGCGTTGTCATTCAGACCTATGTACAGTTTTTTTCAATGTTTCCTAGCTTTGATTTTATCGATAAATATATGAAAGGTCACTTAAAAACCACAATATCCATTTCTTTTCTTCCATATGTGAATAGGAATTTATTGATAACGTTTCTAAAAATAGCATATTAAGGTGCGCATTGCATAATGACTCGCCGAAAATATTATTGGCTATGTACATAATATATACCTAATTTTATGTACCCATGTACCTATTTAAATGAGTTGCAGAAGAAATGTTAAATCTAAATAAGTAATCCTCTTGTTGTCTGTATTCTAATGTCGAAATAACTATTAAGTATTTAAAAAAATTGGTATAGGGGCTTAACAAATTACGATTATTGTTTTTGTATTTTACAAAAATGTCCGTCTTGTTTTAATTTTCTTATAGATAGATCTTTCAACGTACCCATCGGTGGATACCGATAAAAAAAAATAAATATACAGGGGTAGGGGATGATAGCATGACACACGAGGGCTAAACGGTAGTTGGGGTGGTCAAGTCGAAAGTCTGTGCAACCAACAGAAATACGCGTTACGATTGGTAGTTGCACGCGAGTTTTAATGCCATATGCCGTGATATCGATCTTTATAAAACTGCGCCCTGTAGTTGAAAGTTGCCGAGCTTCAGGAGAAAGTCAGTGCGTGTCGCGTTAGTCAGAACGGGAGCTGTGGGGCATCGTCGGCTGCACGTAGGTCTGAAGACGACTAAAAAGAACGCCTGTAGGAAAGGGCGTCGTCTAAAACCCATGCCGAAAAGCTTTTACATCCACTTAGTTATAGTGTTAAAGTGTTTTTTCATTTAGCTAGATACTAGATTGAAAACATGGGAGGTTGCGCATCTAAGGAAAATACTAAAAAACCGAAACAGGACGATAGCGGGTTTGTACTATTCGTATCCTGTATCCTGTTGATGTCTTTATGCATGGGTCAATAGCACGATGGGGTGCGCCTGGAATCTGTGGAAGCTTCTTTATGTATTGTGTTACCTGTCTCTTCGCTGTCATGTCAATTAAGTACGCATTACGAACTTGTTTTGCCTATTAAACTTTCAGTTTCATTGGTACAATACCTACATCATCCCTATTCTCGTAAATGGATTTTTTTTATGTTTTCATTTGTTTTTGCTGCACACTGGTACTGCACCTTATGTACCTAATTATAAGATTCATAATATATCAAGTATGCGGTATCTCTCAGTACATACATTTCAATTATTATATTATTATAAGTGTACAGAAAAATTGCATTAATTTAGCAATACCTACCTTATTGTTTTCAGTGGTAGGTAATTTTTTAAAACATTTTTTTTTTTTTTTGTTTCAAGCATAACAGAACTGATACAACTCGATTGTTTTCTTTTGTGTAACAATATAATTAAGAATATAATATAATAGATCTATATATTATTTAATTGTAAAATTCAGGAATTATACGAAGAAACCCTTCTTATATTTGATAAGATGAAACAGTGTATGCAAATATATGAATTAATCTATATAATATAAACACTAGCATACTTTCTGGTCATGTACTTAATACTCCATATTTTCAAAACGTATTTGTAAAAAATTTTATTTTTGTATATAAATGTGTTGTGAAAATTTTACAGATACGTTTTGAAAATATGGAGTATTCATATATAGATTAATTTATATAGGTATTTGCATACACTGTTTCATCTTATCAAATATAATATCTTCGTATAATTCCTGAGTTTTACAATTAAATAATACATACACGTGAATATTGATTGTTTCCTGAATTAATTTACATTATATTGCGTATTATGAAGGTGCACGAATATGTATTTTAAATTATAATCGTTATTGAAAAGACGTTTTTTAAGCGTAGCACGAATTTTGAGTGAAATGGGACTGATATAAGATATAATGAAGCTTTCTTTCATTAAAAATTCCCTGTCTACAAATATTGACCGTTTTTCTTTGTGATTATAATTGTCGAAATTAATTTCGTAAAATTGAAGCCTGCGTACTTTCATTAAAATTCCAATTACATTATATTTTTTATTAAAAAATGTCTGCATAGTGATTTGCCATTTGACAAAATAAATAGAACGACAGTTTTAAAAATAGCAAAAGAGCAACTAAAATAATGGAACGATCTTTGATTATGAAAAAGGGATATAAAACCACAGACACTGTTAATTCCTGCTAATAAAATTGATATATTCTTACAAGATTATTACTCAGTGATAAATTCTTTAAAATCTATGGCCTTAAAATTAATAAATTTCTATAATATAAGTAATGTATTTTTCTCTTTTTTTAAGATAATGAGATACCATAACGGGACAAACATCTTGTTAATTGAATTATTACGTGCGTGTATTATCTGTTGGTATCTTTATCAATAGTTATTAATTATTGAGTGTGATTTAGAATGTAATACCTATCATCAAGTAAAACGATTTTATAATTTTGCCATGAAATTTTTTAGAAACGCAATTTCTCGAGATTCTAACTTCGGACACGGTTCCTTATGATGGCCTATTAATTACCAGATAACTTAGAGCTAGTAATAAAAAGACAAACTAAAAAGACTAGGTATTTTACTGCAGCTCTTAAAATACTTAATCGGATTGCATTTCTTCATATATGTTTGCATGTTTGTGTTGTGTAAAATAGTATTTTGGAAAAATACTTTAGGTTTTGACTTCATTGGAAAAAATATTTTAATAATTATACTTATTGATACTTACATCTTATAAAAAAAAAACACATTTTCAGTAGGGTCGTTCTCTCGATTAAATTAACGCCACTTATACTGACTATTACTCAAGCTTTATTTAGTTTGCTTCTTCAAGGTAAAAAGTATGTCGTCAATTTTATGTATCGTTTTTTTTAATAACCAAACTTGTTTTTTCTCACAAAATCATTTTTTTCGATTACAGAAAATCCACTATGGTTGACGCCGCGGTGTTGGAGAAACTTGAAACTGGTTTCAAAAAGTTGGAAGCTTCCGACTCCAAATCTTTATTGAAGAAATATCTCACTAGGGAGGTTTTTGATGCTCTAAAAACCAAGAAAACGCCAACTTTTGGTTCAACTCTCCTTGATGTAATCCAGTCTGGTTAGTTCATTAGTATTTCAGTAATCATAACTGAATTTATTTAAATCACGATATTTTGTTTCTTAATTATATTTCATTTAAAAGTTGAAACCACATTTCTAATAAAGTATACCTATTATTTAATGTTTATACTGATGATATGTGGGTATGCAGATTATAAAAATTACGAATCAAAAATTAAATTAAATATTTTAATAAGATTATTTTGGTTAAACATGGGGAAGAAAAAGTTTTTTTTTAGTGGCAGGTAATATAATACATTAAAAGGAAGTAGATATACCTATCTCCATGTCAACAGTTTAAGATTAAATGTGCTCAAAAATTTGATAAATATTTTTTTTGGGGAAAAAATGATAGCAAACTAAAAATTAATCTGTATAAGTAACTAATTAATATTAATTTCATAGGACTGGAAAATCACGATTCTGGTGTTGGCATCTATGCTCCTGATGCTGAAGCATACACAGTCTTTGCTGATCTCTTTGATCCAATCATTGAAGATTACCATGGCGGATTCAAGAAGACTGACAAACATCCCCCTAAAAACTGGGGAGATGTCAGCGTTTTCGGCAATCTCGATCCTGCTAGCGAATTCGTCGTGTCCACTCGTGTCCGCTGTGGCCGTTCCTTGGAGGGATACCCGTTCAACCCTTGCCTAACTGAGGAACAGTACAAAGAAATGGAACAAAAAGTCTCCAGCACTCTCTCTGGACTCGAGGGTGAGTACACATTTGGCGTCGATTGGAAATTTGAAGACTACTAAATAATATCTTTATGGAAAACAAATTTGGGAATTTTTCATTTCAGGAGAACTGAAGGGAACTTTCTATCCACTGACTGGCATGAGCAAGGAAGTTCAACAAAAACTGATTGATGATCATTTCTTGTTCAAGGAAGGTGATCGCTTTTTGCAGGCTGCCAATGCTTGCCGTTTCTGGCCCTCTGGTCGTGGCATCTTCCATAACGATGCTAAAACATTCTTGGTTTGGTGCAACGAGGAGGACCATCTCCGTATTATCTCCATGCAGATGGGTGGTGATCTTGGGGCCGTCTACAGACGTCTTGTAACTGCCGTCAATGATATTGAGAAGCGCTTGCCTTTCTCTCATCATGACAGACTCGGTTTCCTTACTTTTTGCCCCACAAATCTTGGTACGACTGTTCGTGCCTCTGTGCATATTAAGGTACCAAAATTGGCTGCCAATAAGGCTAAGCTTGAGGAAGTTGCTGCTAAGTACAACCTGCAAGTTCGAGGAACTCGTGGTGAGCATACTGAGGCTGAAGGAGGCATCTATGACATTTCCAACAAGAGACGTATGGGTCTTACCGAGTTCGACGCTGTCAAAGAGATGTACGATGGCATCGCAGAGCTCATTAAAATTGAAAAGGAATTGTAAACCCCATACATTCGTATCTTTCGTGATTTATTACATATAAGCAATGATATACTATAATTTTTGTTTTAAGTATCTCGTTTACCAAAGGTATCATCAGAGATTGCTTTCAATGCTAAAACTACAATTTATAAGACGTTATGAAGTCTGAACCTAAGTTAGTGTAATCAGCTTTCTAGTCGACATTATTTTTAAAAACTAACACTTCATTTACAAATAATGTCAAACATTGGATTTACCCTAATTTATAATTTATTTTTATCTTCTCTTTATGTATCTCTAAAATAAGTATTATTTTCAACCACACGTTGCAGATTTATTACAGACATTTAATAAAAGACGTCCAATGTAGTTCCAATTTTTTATTTTTCCTATCACTACCGTATTTAAAAAAAGTGCATCAATAAATTTTGCTTCCGACTTCTGACGTCAAACTGAGCGGAACTTATAAACGCACGTATATATCCCTTTCCTTTAAATGTGAAATTAAATGGAGAGATATAGGTATAACTTGATGATGCAAATCTCCGGTGATAAATAACATATTTATGGATATTTTGAATTGTAACTAACACTTGACCTAAACACTTATTATGATGTACACAAATACGTACGTTATTTTGCTGATTTTCATTTTTCGGTTTATTAAAGATTCATAGAATAAATTTAGTTCTTTCCTTATCCGGAAACTCTACTGAAAAACAACTTGGAAGTGCCATTCACACTTTTTTCTTAATAGTTAAACAGACATATTATAATTTTTAATTTCATTTTGATGGATTTTAATGTAATGTAACGTTTTACTTTTCCATTACAGTGTTGATTTAAAATTGCATAACTAAAAAAAGTATATTTTGTGTTGTGGTAATATATATATATATATATATATATTACACTATATATTTAACACTCCCGCTGCCAATATCTCGGAAACGAAGAAATTTATTTTAGTTCCAGAAACTGGGGTTGTTAGGTCCCTCCAATAGCTTCAAATTGCAGTTATAATTGTTAGTTCAAATATATGTAAATCCAGTTACTTTTTAATAATTTATAATAGTTTTTTCACATATTTAATAAAATTAATTGCTGTGTATAGCTATTCCAGCCGACAGAAGAGGCTATTAACTGTTATACAGTTGTGTTCAAGGAGGTGATCCTAGATGACGTCCTCATGTTATAATCATATAATATATGTACATATTTAACGGCTCTGTTATTACCAATGATATAAAAATGACCTTAAATAAATACGAAGGCACTGCAATTTTTTATATTTTAAATTACATATTATGTTGCCAATTGTTCTATTACTTGTTGATTTTAAAGACATTTTATTTAACAAAACAATTATGTCCAAGTGTTACCTTATATTGTATACATTTTTAATCGATTATAGTATCTCCAAAACTAAACGATATAAAAATTGTTATTTTCACTAAACGGTACCCACACATTTTTTGCACTCGTTTTCAATTTAACCAATTTCCATTAAAAAAAGTTAGAGAATTCACCAAATTTGAACGTCGAATTCTGGAGTCGGCAGTAATCACTGGTTGATATAATTGTATGCAAATCCAACTCTGCCACCAGCCCAAACATTATAAGAGTGACAATAGACAGTTTATTCAAAGCAAATCACTAAATAACATTAGTATAAATTATATAATAATATTATATTATTATTATACAAAATATATAAATAGTTTAGTTTAGTTTAGTTAGTTTATTGACCACGTTTACATACATTAGTACATTTGAAGTCATAAATTTAGGTGGTAGATCTACAGTCACATCCATTTAAATAATCAATATATTCATCTAGAAAAATTTCTTGAGTAACTCACTTTTAGCAAGTTTAACAAATTGATTAAAGTTCATATTCTTTGTCTGAATGTAATAATTAGTGAATTTATTATACAAATTTATATCCAATTTGTTAAGCTTATTTGTACGGATTCGGGAATACGGCTAAATTAAATTTTCCGCAAACCTTGTATCATTGAATGTGTTCGAAATTTATTTAAATTTGGACGTATTTCTCTAAGTGTTTCAAGAATGTAGATACAAGGTAGCGGAAGTATGCCCAATTCGAGAAATATAGATCTGCATGGAGCATCAAATGACGCCCACCGAAGAACCCTCACAGCCGCCTTTTGATAGGCAAACACTCTATCTGCTTTTACCGAGTTTCCCCAGAGCAGTACACCCTATGTTAAATGGGAATGCACACTCGCATAATACACCATCTTCAATACATGGTTATTCAAACATTGTTTTAGATGCCTTAACACAAAAACCTGCGAGGCCAGTTTTGAGCAGAGATAGTCTGTATGGGGTATCCAATTGAGGAAAGTATCTAAAACAATTCCCACAAGTTTTACTGGCTCAGATTTATCAACCCATATGTCCGAGTTTATTTGTAAACATTGTGTTTTGTTTTCGTTTAACTTTAGCTTGTTAGCAGTGAACCACAGTTTAGCTTTATTCAGACTATCACCGCTCACATTTGATTTAACACAATACAACACATTTACCATTTAGAGTTGCTGGTAAATCATTAATATAATATAAAAATAGTATCGGTCCCAATACCTTTGCAATTTTTAAATAACATTTGTATCTATAGCCTTAGACAAATTAAACCTATCAAGCACATCATAGTAACCGACAATTTTAATGAACTTCGCTAACTCCAATGCTTTTATACTTCTTATAAATTTGTTTAGGTCTTATGGTTGGTCACCAATAGAAGAAAACGACCCTCTCGGCTGGACAATATTTTTACTAATCTCTTAAATAGCTTTTTGATATAAATATTTCAGACCAACAGGGTGTTACCTTTGATTTTAAGACTGTTCAAACTAACTTTTAAAAGTGGAGTTAATTATAGACCAATGACTCTTCACGAACCCGACACTAATCCTAGTCGATGCTTTTCGAAGGAGGTACCGTGAGGCAATTCACGATGTGAAAAGACAAGCTAATGATCAATTTATTAATCAATCTTGTCTATAATGTGGTAATATGAAAACTGAGGTACACTCAATTTTAACTATAAAAATATGTAATGGCAATAAAACACGGGTAATAAATATATTTTTTTGTCTTTATTAATATTTATCAAAGGTTTCACTAAGTTATTAAACACAATTACTGTATTATCATATAATTTTTATACCCCATTTCTTATCAGTAATTTTGCAAATCTACACAAATCAATAGTCGATTCAACAAAGTAATAAAAATGATATGGACTATCCCAATATTTTGTCTCTTAAATTCAGATCTCTAAAAATAGTTGCGAGTATAAAATACTTAAAAAAAAGTACAAAATGGAAAAAATCAATTAAATTAAAGATTTCACTAACCTGTGACACAGCAACACTTATTTTATGGATATTTTGTTTTTTTTTTTTTTTGTGGAAGATTAAACTGCTCCAATAAAAAGAAAATATAAAAATAGATCTTATTTGGTTTATTAAAAAGAAAAATCAATAATCTAGATGAAATGTTTTATAAAATTATGTGGAAATATTAAAAAAATATTATAAATATAATAGTTTAGTAAATAATTAGAGTTCAGTCTTTTCGGATTTAGGGTTACCTTTTCTGTCATAACCTTTCAATTCATTTGTGGCCTGTTTGGCGATATACTTGATAAAATCGTCAACTTCTCGTCCTCCCTATAAAATACAAGAATGTTACAAACAAAAATTGCTCCCAAATATTTTTTGTTCTAAACTGCAGGCTTGTTTAAATCTTACCTCATAACGAACTGGAGCATCCTTTGCATCTTTAGATGCCCAGTATAGAGTAGGGAAGCCACGTACTTCAAATGGAGCAGGTACATCATTTGCCGTTGCATCCATCTTTACAATAACTACATCCTCATCTTTTAGCTGTAAATAAGTTAATTAAAATGAAATATATTCTAGGGGCGAATTAATTTTCTGATCTTACAGAATTTAATTTAAACTATTCGCAAATTTTTAGTTCCTCAACTTACTTTCTCTGCTAGTTCATCATAGGCTGGTGCCAATTTTTTACAATGGCCACACCAAGGAGCATAAAACTCGATAAGTGTATCCTTTTCATTATTCACAACCAATTCGTCGAAGTTCTTTGCAACGGCAACTTTAACGGGTTCATTTTGACTTTCTGGAATAGGTTCAGATTTTAGGTAAGGCTCCAAGTTACCTTCCAAAACATCATTAACGAAGACTTCCAAGGCTTCAATTCTGAAAAGAAAAAGAAAAAAAAAATTGGTGAAACATGCTAGTTTATAGGCAATACTTGAATATCCTGTATCTATAAAATTACGTATTTCACTTACGAGAACTCGTCCTTTAGGATGAATTTTTGATTTTTGGCATCTCGTGCAACCACAACTGGTTTGTCCCCTTTGACGTAGTCTAAGCCGTACTCATTGAGTTCATGCTGGAAATCATCTTTCGCACTAATGGCAAAAGTTGCTTTGCCTTTGAATTCTTTAGCAATCTGAAATTATAAAGGAATAATATGTGGTACAAAAAAAATTTAATATGTATTACCTTCAAAATTCTATTGCGCCAGTAGTTGGTGCCTTTAGGGTTCTTGACATAGTCGACGGCATAATAAGCAACAACCAAAGGAGTTTTAAAATCATCCTTGTTGTCTGGTTTGCGATGTCCCACAAGTCCATGGCTGGACAATTGAAGTATTCGTTATAAAATGCTTAATGAAATAAGTAATATACTTACAAGATGTCAGTAATGAAATCGTTTAGATCTGCAGTGTTGGGTTTACCATCGTATTTAACAGTACCGTCTTCAAATTTGTTTTGTAGATGAGCAGCACGAAAAAGTACAACACCATCTCTGTAAAATCCATTACACATATTCGCTTGCATAAAATTATTTAAAAAAATGAAGGGAGTTTAATGGGTAACAAACATTTTACTACGATTATCGATGTTATGCTTTTTTAATTCACTTACTTGATTCCCTGTTTGTCCAATAGCTCCTTGAAAGTAGTGTGAGCAAAACGAATTTTCTCCCTCAATTTATCCGCTAATTTCAAAAAAGCAGCTTTCAATTCCGATTCCTTCTCAAAGAAACCAACAACGGCACTTTCTTTTTCTGTGGTCAAAAATTTTTCGAGACACTGGACTGTTTTCAATTCTTTAGAGCTTGGGCCTACTTGTGATTTCATATATTTCACGATGCCTAAAGCAGAAATTCAATTTGTTAGAAGTTTCTCTCAGTACTGTTTAAATAACTTTCAGATATAAAAAATAAAATAACAGACAATAATAAATTAAAACATATTGTTGCATTAGTTTTATCAAAGTGAGTTGAGCAATGAATCTCAAAAATAAATACTTGTTGTGTCTGCCGCAACACAAATATTTTCAATTAACTGATTGCTATTCTACATTCAATTATCATTGTCATAAAGCAGATATGATAATCAGCCATTTGATAATATAATAAGTTGTGCAAGATATAACTTACATTTTTATAAGGCTAATATAATAATTAAGAAATTTTCTAATTAAGAAGTAAACTTTACTTTTGTAGTGAAGTATTTTTAAAAAAGCAAAAGAAAGAGAGTTCCCTTAACACCATTTACAAAATTTACAAATTATATATGTACATATACAGGTTCGGAAAGTCCCCATGGTACATCGGCCGTTACGTGAGAGCGATAAAGAAAGTCATAGAAATGCGTGCGATAGACAAGGATGGTTTCATTGAAGACGTTTCGGCAAATGGACCATGTGGATTTTTCAGCCCTGTATTTAGTATATTTTTGTGTTAATTTAAGTTGGTTTTAAATAATAATAATAATAATAATAATAATAATAGTAATAGTGACCAATCAAACAAACTGGCCTGGCTCTTTATGCTTCTATTCCTTTTATTGAAAATGTTACCCCAAATTTGTTAAATGTATTTAAAAATGAAAACTAAAAATAGTTGTGGTAATATTCTATTAAATTAGGCACTTGATTATACTAATTAATTACCTCCTGCTTCTCTTGGACCATTATAGTCTTGAGAGAATTTACCATTCTTGAAAATCTTTAGTGTGGGATACCCACTAACGCTGTTCTTGTTACAAGTTTCTTTACCAGCTTCAGTACAATCTACCTTAACTAAAGCCACAGGGGGGTCATTTCTGATTAAATCTTCAGCGGCTTTGGCGTATTCAGGCTTCAATCTCTTGCAGTGTCCACACCTAACATACAAATTATGTAGACGAATAAGTTCAAGGTTATTATTACTTGCCGAATTTTACTTTTTTTATAGAAACATTTATTTAAAACTAAACGGAAACATTCAAACTCTTGTTTTTTTATGAAATACTTGCCATGGTGCGTAAAACATCACAAGGGCCGTTTCATGTTCTGCGATTCTAGAGTCAAAATCACCGTCTCCAAATTCTAAAACATCTTCTTCCTTTGCTATACACGAGTGGCACAAAACGCAAATTAATAGTAATTTAAATAAGTACATTTTCGTTTTACTATAAACACTTCTTGCTGGCTTGAAAATTTTCTAATTCTGGGTTTACTTTTCACTTTGGTCACCTGCCACGAACAATTTCTTTCTGGATTGTGTTAAATTTACGTGGCTTTTAAATTGCGCATGTCACAGCGTTGTCGATATTCTATTGGACGGCAATATAAAATGTAATGTTTTCATTGGACAGTTTTCTTATACGTTTCCAGATATTAAATACTAAACATAATATTAATTTAGTAAGCAACAACGAACTTATTGTTAAAAACATTTGTAAAAATGATATCTAAGAGATATCATTTATATCCAATCTGTAATTAAGAAAATACATACCTGTATCTTCCTATTAAGCGTCTACAAAAAAAAATACCAGACACAAACACAAATACCTAGATCAGAACAGTATCATCAATAAGCATAATATATTTTATTATTTATTAGGATCGCTCAGCAAAAATAAATTTTTCCGTTTTTTCAAAAGATAAAAATTTGTAAAAATAATAAATAGTAATTTTCCTTTTTTTTAATGACAATGAAATTTAAAAATCAATGTCTAGGTAATAATAACCTTGCTTATATCATATTTATATGTACTATTTTTATAAGCAAGGAATTTACTCTGCTTTTTACTCTACTCTACTCTAAATAGGATTACTTAAATCCATGTTTTCTGTGATACTAACATTGGTATATATATCTTTTTCTTGTAGAAAATCCTTGCTAATACACACGTCTAATACGTATCTAATAGTGGTCTATGGTATGGTATCTAATCCATACGTAACGCTTTTCGACGCGAGTGAAGTCGTGTGTTATTATGAATAGCTTTGTTCGCGGAGCTATTCAAACTAGTTCGGGATCAGTCAGAAGCAATCCTTTAGCTACTTCTTTTATACTATGCTCAGAAAGTAGCTGGACGACTGCTTCTGACTGATTCCAATCTAATTTGAACGGCTCCGCGAACAAAGCTAATATGTGTAGTTTGAGAGAATGAAGAGATTTAAACTACCACATGACCACAGAATATCCTAACTATAAGGATATTCTGTGACATGACAACTAAGACCTCTTTTATGCACGCGTTTTTCTCCTCTCAACGCGAAATTGAGAAAAACGCGGTATATTTCTGCTCCATTTGCAACGACGATTGCAAAATCCGAATTCAGTATTCGGAGTCGATGAGGCCACGTGGCGAATGATGCTAGAGACTACAGTTGTCCAGCTGTGTAGTGGTTTAATGTGCTATAACTTCAATAATTTTTTTTCTCAGAAACTATAAGGATTTTACAATTTTTTTTCAATATTGACTCCATTTCTCATGCCGCATCTATTCCCATTTTTTTTTGGATAAGTTGTGAATCACCCTGTATTATAAAACATACCTACAATATAATATACAAAAAAATTTAATAACATAATATATAGTATTAAAAATATAATCATTACAGATTTCTCCATTATTATAAGTTTATTTTTTAAATATTCCTAAAATTTTGGTTAATAGTTTATAACGTATAATAAATTCTAACCCTTAAATATAACCTAAGTACAAATTCTCTCGGAAAAGAATGACACGGATGACTAAAAGGTAGTCTTTTAATTAATTCAAGAAATGTGCTACAAATGTTATTTTTTGTGGATAATTGTTCAAAATTATCTTGAAATATCTTTTCAGTGTTACAAATGAGCTCAACAAAGTTATCGTTTGGCATTTATAATTGTCCAAATAAGGTCTATCTTCATTTTCATTAATATATAAAATAAAAATAAATCAACGAAATTATACCCACGCCTATGATTGCAATTCTTAGTACCCGTTGTCGCTACTCGCCTGAACGAACGCCAAAGCCGTCTTTTCTGCTGGAAGGCGGGGCATAAATGCTGCGCGGCGGAATCGACGCTAACCGTGCCCGCCAAGACAGTTGCGAAGCTGTATGAGCTGTGCTACAAGTCAGATATTCACCAATATTCAATTTATTTATAGTATACTCATACTGTCAATTCCGTGGAGTGGTATGTGGTCAAATATGAAATTTTCGAGAATAAAAAGTGTGCTATCTACATGCAGTAAAAGATATATAAGTAAAAAAGGCCGAAAATATCCTGTTGATCCAAAACATGTAGAGAAACTGCCAGGTAATCATCGTTCGTTGCATGTCAAAGGTAACCTTAACACTGAAAGTTTTGTTTATAGTTTTTCAGTACACTGTTAGTAAAAAGAATTATAGAAGAGTTTTCGCCTGGGGAAATCTAGAAACCGGTGCTTTAGGTGTGCCATATGTTGAAAACAATAAAAACAAAGATATAATACGATGTTTGAGTTTCCCAAGACGTATCACATTTGGCGAACAATTTGAAGTATTTATTATATTTGAATAATGTTTACAATCCCCAATATCTCCTTCATAGGTTGTATCGGCTGCCTGTGGATTCGGATTTACAATTTACGGTGTGAATAGTGACACAAATATTAAAATATACGGAACGGGCATCAACACCGACTCACAAATAGGTTACCATGAAGTAAGGCAATATAAACCTTTAGGAATAATCTTCCGTCCCCAACCAATTCCGTTGCCATTTTTAAACCCTGAAAAAACAAAAATTTTGAAATTGGCCGCAGGTAGAGCTCACAGTGTTGTTTTAACAGATGAAGGCATTTTTACACTAGGCAACAATTCCTATGGGCAGTGCGGAAGAAAGGTTATACCAAATGAAGACTATTCTATGAGTAATTACATTCATCATATTTCAAAATTAGAAGGCAAAAACATTGTCGATATAGAATGTGGACAAGATCATAGGTACAGTTTAAATATTCCAACAGTAGTTTGACACTTATTGTACATGTTCTTAGTTTAGCTTTAACAGAAGATGGTAATGTATATTCATGCGGATGGGGTGCCGATGGTCAAACGGGATTGAATCATTTTGATAATGTCGAACAGTTTACGAGAGTTAAAGGAGATATTGAAAATGAGAAAATTGTAAAGCTAGCGTGTAAAGCTGACTTCACTTTAGCTTTAAATGGTAACATTAAATATAGTAATCAATATTTTTTAACAGATAATTTTTTTAGATAAGGGAGATGTTTTCGGTTGGGGCAACACTGAATATAATCAAATTACATTACCGGGTGGTGATCAACAATTGTCCGTGCCTTCCTATATAGATATGTTAAAAAAAATTGGTAAAATCACAAGCATTGCGAGTAGTGGAACACTATGCATTGTCGTAAACGGTAAGTCTGCTAATAACATTTGGGAATTGTTATCGTTATGTATCTATAAAGATTTAAAAAATTTATGCAAGTGATGTAATTAATAATTTAACATTTAAATTGTTATGGATTCAGTGGAATTTGTACCGTTCCTGGCTATATTTTGAACTTTAAACCTATATTTTGAACTTTAAACACTTTTTAAGAACAAGGACATGTCTACTCCTGGGGATACGGTTTATTAGGTGTTGGACCTAACATACAACAATCGAAATTACCCATAAAAATTCCAGAAACGTTATTTGGCCTTAATGATTTCCAGCCCAATAATATTGTACAAAAAGTTGTCTGTGGTTTAAATTATGCTGTAGCAGTAACAAATGGGGGAGATTTATTTGCTTGGGGTAGGAATAAACATGGCTGCCTTGGATTGGGAGGAGATAAAGATCAATATTTTCCACTTAAGGTAAAGGTAATATTTTACCATTATATCGTAACAATTAGACATATCTTTTTTTTAGGTGTCTTTGGGGGGCCACGTTGATGAAATTTTTTGTGGTGCAGATCACTCGGTAACAATATGTAAGCCATATATATAATAAAACGTAAAAATAAATATGATTTTTTTTGTTTAGCATTTTTTTTTTGTCACCGTCGTAATAAAATTACTTTTTATAATAATAATATGCCAATATATTTAGAATTAACAGTATTTACATTTAAAAATATATAAACATGTTTATATCACCGGCAACCTTGACTAAAATTGTATTAACTAAAATACGAGACGAAATTCACATTTATACAATATGCCACTGGTGGTAAATGGAAGGAAATACGGAGACAATAGCAGCAAAAAAATATATACAGTTTTGAGTCACTTATACAATATCAAAGTATCTCTAAATCCCTGGTTTTTTTCTTGCACACAGAAAAGATGATAAAACAAATTCGCAAAAAGCTGCAGACTATCAGAACATACGTAATAATATCAAAGTGAACTTATTCCGTAACAAATTGTGTTACATTGTTTGTTAATATTCATTTTTATAAAAAAAAAAAACTGGTATCTACATAGTGAAAAATCAGAATTAGAATATAAGTTACATGCTTGTTTCACGTCAAATTAAACAATATATGAATAAGCAACGCACAGCTGCCACTAAATCAAGTTATATTGTTCCCATATTCAACAGTAACCAGTGTTTAATACAACCAATAAATGGGAATAAAAACATTATAGAACAATGTATTATGTTTAATAAAATTCAATTTTAATACCCATTTCCAAAACAAACAAAATTAAGAATTATCCTTATATTCTAATCCTGATACTGATGCAGTTAGATACTAACTATTGCTAATGTTCTTCAATTATGTTTAAGAAACTAAATATAATGCATATGTTAAATACAATTAAAAGCTACAATCTCGTAAAAATCATCTTTAGCTTGGGAATAAAACTGATTTGTCAATTTACTGCAATAAAATGGAATTCATACAAGCTATACATATATTATAAAATAGAATATTCTTTTTCATTCTGAGAAACAAATGATATATATATATATATAGAATTGCAAAAGTAAAGGAAAAAACATTGTGAGGGTGAATATTTCAATACACCCACACCCATTAGTTAAATACGTACTTATGTACTTATTTGTATAAAAATATATATTAAATTTCTTTGTCAAATGTGGGAAATAAAGGTTCACTTTTAATTATAAGCGGTGTATTGACGGTGGAACTGGAATCTATTGAAGTCGGAGCGGCATCCTGTCCGTCAATAGAATCATCAAAGAGCTCGTTGAAATCTATCAAGTTATTTCCGCAAGTTGCTAATTCTGTGCCAGACACCATAGGATCCGTTGAAATCAGTTGACTCCCTTTGGTATTTGAAAACAAGTTATTTTTTGGTTAAAAAAATTAATATGTATTTACATATTTAAAGTATCATGGTTTTTGGGGTTGTTCTATGCCGCGCCCTGTGTACCAAGTTGCTGCCACTTACAGACTTACAATGCATTTCCTTAGCCTTAGCTAGGAATCTTTAACCAGTGCTTGTTCTTGGGCCGAACCCCCCCCCAATCAAAGCCCCTTGCCCCGCCCTAATATTGATTTAAGTTCTTGGTGTAGGCTGTAAGGGTTGTCCCCTGAAACGTTCCGTTGTGGATTCTGTAACTGGTCACATGCAATGCTTCCAAATGTTTAGCAGCTATTCTTCAGTGTGGGCATCTTCAATCAGTCATGGCAAAGTCACCACTAGGGAAGACCAACAACAACTGACTGAATCTGACTGAACTGAACAACAACTGAAATCAATATCAGGGTTCTGACAATTAAAGTTGAGGAAATGCGATGTAAGCCTCTAACTGTCTACAGCAACAATATCACGATCTACTTAACATTTATATTAACTGTTTAAAATACGACTTATAATATTAATCTGTGAATATTATTGCAATAAAGATTTATATTTATGTGAGAAGTATCATGTTTTCAATTTAATCAAAATTCTCACTAACCTGTGGGAGAATTTAAATCATCTCTATTTTGGTTAACGGAAAGTCCATAACTTGGTTGATCATCATTGAAAAGCTAAAAGAAATCCTTTTGTTAGATACTTTAAAATTTCATAATACGATAATGTGATGCATGAAGTCTAAATTAAAATAAAAATATGTATTCTTTTGCTTTGTTAGTTGGTCAGACCGAAGGGTAAACTGCAGGGGAATTATGGTGACGTACATGACAGCGTAAATAGCACGGCAGCTGCAATACACATACGTAGCTAGTTATCTTAATTTTCCACCATTGGTGGACATTGGTGGACAGAATTGCCGCATCAACATTAATAGATCAGAAAAAATCATTAAAAATACATGCGTGTTTTAAATTGGAACTTGAGAACTAACTGTAGAATGTTATTTGAAACTTTAACGGCGAATCAGGCCGAATACGATTAGTTTGAATAAAATAAAATTGAAATTCAATTCACTTAGATTATTCGAGCAAATTTATCTGTCAAAATCCAACAATATTTTTAGTTAAATGTAGAAATTTGTTTATTATATTTCTACATTATGGTATTTTTCAAGATCAGATACAAAATTCAAATAATTTTTACCGATGTAAAAGTTTTAGAGCGAAACAGATTATCTGAAAAATGCAATTTAATGACCTTATTACACAAACAAAATAATTTTGATTTACTTCCGAGCTATTGATTCTTTTTTCCACTTGTTGGGATTCGCCCTGTATATTACTGAAACAATATAGAACAAAAATAATATTTTTTTGTATTTACCCCTCAGGTCAGACATTATTTTAAAACTGTTTTAAAAGCACAATCATAAACAAAAAAGTTTGTAAAGCTGTCGACTTACTCCAAGAAGTGCATTAGCATCCAAACTGTTGCAACCATGAAGTATATCTTTTAGTTGGTCAATCTCACTCTGGGTACTTTCCAAATGTAAATCTAAATCTTCCCTACAACATTCATTAGTACCAAGTGTACTAACGTCATCATTAAATGTTAAACATTATTATACATACAAATACTGCTCCTATAAGACTAAAAATCTAATTTTGATTATGTTCCTGTAAATGAAAAATCATCGAGCAGTTTCGTTTGGATGTTTTGAAAGCCTGAATTTCCAGGTAAATAAGAGATGGACCCCAAGGTAATGCTTTTCATTTTGGAGCACGTGGCCAAATAATTATGAAAATACTCGTTTAAGGTGAATTACAGAAACGGAAATATTAGTTAGCTGAAATGTGACAGCAGTGCAGTATGTATTAAGGACATATGTATTTCATATATACAACATGACCTGTATCCTAATTTATTTTAAATCTAACCGTTAACTCACCCTTAAACAATAACTGAAAATTCCTTTAATAAATTACATACCCAGAGTTAATTTTATAATCTCTTGTAGCAACCGTCATGTCCGTATTGTTTCCTGTATTTATATCTGTCAACACAGCAGATGCGTTACTTGTGGTATTGTTACTAGTCTTTTTAGAGTTTTTCCCATTTAAAATATTGGAATTGTAACTTCCATTTACCAAGTTTGTCAAAAGAGTGTCTCTTGCTGTTGGATTTAAAAAAACTTTTTCATTCGATTGACTTGTATTGGACTGTAAATCGGTTAAGTTTTCTTCAGTTAGTTCATTGTCAGATATAAGTTCTTCAGGATTTATTTGGGTAATCTCCTATCAAAATTAAAACTTAAAATTACACGTACTGTTAAATCGGAACACTTACTACAAACTCAGGTTTATCCCAAAAATTTTCTGAAATCGTTTCGCCCGTTCCTTCTGCTGGCGAGGATACAGATCCAGATTGAAATTTACCATCGCCAGATTGTGGTGATGTAGACACGTTTCTTACAGGGCTTGCTACCTGAGAACACGTTAAAGATAAACGTAATCATAATATTAAATAGGTAATTGTACTCACGACTGGTTGATCTTCAATTTCATGTTCTAGTAATTCCTCAGGAGAGATTTCAATTTCACTGTCTAATTCGTGAATAGTTGGGCCTCCATCTAAATCGGATCTTACAGGTTTTTTTGATTTCGACTTTTTAGCAGGGCTCTCATGCAGCATTAAAGGCATTCGCCTTTTAACCCCAACACCCATTCTAGATGCAGTTGAAGGTTGTACTAATGTGACCAAAAATTGTATCAACTAAAAATTTTTTAAACCATTTTACTTGACATTTCTACTAAAGAAAAATAATAATAATAATAATAAATAATAAAAAGAATAATTTTTTCAGTACAAATAAAAATCATTTATTGTAGTTTGGCTTTACCTTATTGACGATCTGTTGTTGTTTAATGTGTTTCTGTCTCAACATAGCAAGTTCTCTCCATAAAACAGCATTTTCCTGTTTCATAGCAGAAAGTTGTGAATCGACACTAGATTGCCGAGTCTTAAGTTGTTTCACATCCGTTATAACCTTAGCAATATCATCATGCTTTAAAACATTTTGTACATTGTTTTCAGCAGATTTTGAAGCAGTGACCTAGAAATTAATTGGTAAATTACTTTGTCAAAACTAATTTTATTATAATAGACCTTCCGTTTGATGTTTACGAGGATTTCAGGTTGGTCCTTCTGGAAATAAGGATGATAAAATTGATTTTCATCTTTATCTGCATCCATTGTACCATTCTCAACGGTTGACATTTTATGAAAACCATCTGTAACAAATTAATATAATACTCATTTGGCCTGATATGTTCAACATTAGTTTTAAGGATATGATTATATGATCCAATTTACTTAAGCCCTTACTTTTACTAGCTAATAAAATTGCATACATTTGCTTGTGGATTGTACATGTCATGACTCAATATTTGGACCCCCCATTTTATTTAAATGAATTCCTTTATCATCGCAGCTAGAGATAATGAAAGAACAGTTCTATGCTAGCCATGACATTTTTGAGTCCTACATGCAGTTTTATATGTTACAGTTTTTGTTGCGTTTCGACTTAATCTATCTAAAACCCAACACGTTCTCATCCACTTGGTTGGTTTTTAGTTGATTATCAGTCCCTGGCATATTCAAAAAATATATGGATTTGGAAATATCTACCGAGATAAATAAAATGCCATTATTATTTTTTTCTAAAATAATACAGGTAATATATAAAGTAAAATCTTTACAACACATTCAAATGTTATATAACATTAAAATACCCCATATTAAAAATTTAATTAAACCACTATCAATGAATTGAAATCAGATGCTTACAATAGAATTTGCTAGTAAAAGTTACTATTTAATAATTTTGGAAGGCGATAACCCAATTCTTCAGTTTCCATAAGTTCTGATAAAAGTCTATATAATTATAAAGGGAAAACTAAAGAATTACTTGATTGAATCAGTTCAACAAAGTTATTCCATATTTTGAGAAAAATCTAAGAATATTTAATCCTTCAAAACTTCTAAACTTCACCTTTTGTAAATTTGTATGGATGTGGTAACATTTATATTAGACTGTGTGATGTTAGAATTAATTTTCGACCTTCAAAACAAACGTTTTTTGTTTAAAAATTTACACATTTATTCATTCAGTGTGTCCGGTAAGTATTGACTAATCTCTTGGGAGCAAATTTTGGAATAGGGAAGATTGAAATAACTAGCAATTCCCGTATTTTTCTTTCTGATGTTCCTGTAAATGGAGACAACTTTGAAACCACCTTATATATTTTGACAAAATTTTGGCGCAGTGTATTATAAATAAACAGATCATATGCAGAAAGGGACTCTTATATAAAAGTATAAAGGTCTAAAACTGCTAACTGGCCAGACTTAACTTTATTTAAAATGTGCATTAAAAATTAAAAATCTATTACACTACATAATATATTTTATAATATTCAATGAATACTTTTAAGGCTCGTTCAACTGATATATTTCTTACTTTTATTTAATTTATAAATGTTTATCTTCGTCTATAAACCACCTTTTTGGATTTGGGCAAAGTTATATACTAACTAACTAAATGCATGAAATAATAAAAAAAACTTGTTCTAATTTGTTTTTGGTATTGTATCAAAAACTTATTTAATTCAAAAACCATTAATTTAGAGAATAGAATACAATACGTTTTTAACAGAAAGTTGTTCAGAGTTTATAAAACGTCAAAATTTTGGAAAAATATGTGTAATATAAAACAGTTTTAGCACCAAATCATAGTCTTACTTATTAGGAATATAACTATGCCAAAATTTGATCACAATATACCTACAAGGTGAAAGTTAAAATACAAAATGACTGGGTACTTTTTTGGGGTCCCACATGTACATTAGGGGAACGTTATATATATATTTTTTTTTTATGTAATTATTTCAATATATTAATATTTTGTTGTACATTTTAGCCATTTTAACCTTGAAAAAGATAATAAATAATTATCAAAAGCTTGGTTTAAGTTAAAAAAGAGTTTTCCTTCAACTACCACTTGACGACATCCCCAATATATATATTTTTTTGGTCTCTAACTTAATCGTCAAGATTAACTTTGTCATTTCAAATAAATATTCTCACAGGAGTATTTTTGTATTTAAATGCACCATTATGGAAGAAATTTGTTTTGGTTAGGTCAGGACATTCAATTACTTACACATATTTAATTGTCGTACGAAACTACTCATATTGTTATGTTTGTAGTAGAGAGGTAATAATTCATACCAAAACTGCGCTTGATTTTGAATAATAAAACTGTTTCCAGCCTAAAAACAAAAATTTAAGGTATGAGATAAAAATGTTGAAAAAAAACCACCAACAATACATAATATGTATAATATAAAATATTATAAAGGTAATTAATTTAGTGGAAAACGCTTACCGGACTCCAACAAATCAAATGATCCGTAGCTGGGTCATTTACCATTTTCCATAATTTACCTAAAAAGGCTGGAATATTTGCGGTGTTTTCACCTAAAGGCTGCATGTTGATAGGCATTCGAAAAAGTATGTTTCACAACTGGACAAATAATGATTCAGAATTACGTGTCCTAAATTTCACATTTTACAATATTTCGTAAATTATATTAGTCTTATGTCTAAATCAAAACACACCACCATCTTGCATTTCTTTTAACATAACTACGTGTTGTAGAGTAGTGACCATAGACAAAACAAATAAGAGGTTGCTTATAGATTATTGTCAACGTTAAAAATGTGACCGTCAGAGACATCTATTGTGCTCTTGGAGTAAAACTATGTGTTTAAGTTTAGGAGACTGATTCAACAATCGGCATTCAAAATAGTTGAGATGAGCTAGGATCTCAGATAAATAAAATACAACTTATAACACGGTAACTGATTAGTTCAAGATTTTTTTTACCTAAAATAACCAGATAGGTACAATTTTCTTTTACAGCAATTGTTAAATTAATATGATATGATTGCACAAATTGAAATTGTTGGAGTAACTAATAAAATAATAAAAAAAATACTTATATTTACCTACATGGCACATCTCATGCATAAAAAGCAGTAGTTAGTTTTTTTTACATACTGATACTTGGAGTGCGTAAAATTGAATTAAATCAACCTGATAAACCACAGATATATTCGCTAGTTTTACAAGCTGTATCATGTATCTTTCCAGCTTTTTAAGTCTCATCAGTACATTGTAAATTGTATTGTACAAAATAAAATGAAATACTTTTATTTTTGTAAGACGGATCTCTAAATTCCTATCTACGGAAATGATCGAGTACAGTCGACAAACACATTTTAAATATGTATTATTACTTTGGATTTGATTTTGTACACCTTATTATTAATCAAATTATACATATTTTGATTTGCCACATCGCCAATTTCGTTTTAAAGTAGGTACCTACAATAGAGAGACCCCCCTGAGCAACGTCACCACCTTTTTCACTGTAATAGGCTGGTTGGCGGCTCAGGTGGATTGATCTCTCTAATGGGAGGATGTACAAGGGGTCCAATGGGGCCTAAGTGCTGTAGCTTTGCTACCCTCCCCACAATTCCAGACTCCAGACTCCAGGTACCTACAATTTAATTAATAAACATTGTTCAATTAAATTTTTAAGAACATTTTTCCAGGGACGTATGTATATCAAAATTATACGTGCCCTGGGCAAATATGATCTGCCGCCCCAGTACCTGTTAGTAAATGTAAAAAAAAAATCCGAGCTGAAAAACGCCTTCCGCGTATCAAAAGTTATTATTTTTGGAACTTATTTTTAAATTGACTTTAGGGTCACCTAACTCCGCGGTGCGCTACTCTCGATTCCGGTGTAAATTTAACGCAGTGTTGCCAGATGTGGCGATTTATCGCCAATATGGCTACTTTGCAACAGAGAAAGAGACAAAAAAAATCATTTGGCGACTGGCGACATATTATGGCTACTTGTCACTCATTCTGGGCGACTTATTAGCTACAAAATTGTAACCGCGGTCTTATAAATACATAATACATTTCTTCTTATAAGCGAAAAAAAGATAAATGTCTGGTGACAAAATTAGTATTTTTCATTTTTTATATTGGCAGAGCATATTTGTACGTCGCGCCGCCGCGCCATTAATCCATGGCTAGAAATTGGCCTCAATGATTTGGGATCGAGGGGAATTATACCTCTTTATCCTGCCTCATCTCGTGTAGGCCTGGACAGCCTTCGTAGGTGGGCCCCATCCGTCGTCTACCCCGACCGCAAATGCGGCCGGTGTAGGCGCTTTGTGGGACCTCCTTTTGTCCTGCCTGGGCCCCGCCGGCTAGGGCCCTTTCTTCTGTATTTGTACGTCATTAGTCCTTCTCTTCCATTGCTTGGATTCTAGAATTCTACCAAGGAGGGTTCTACAGTACTACAATTGTAAATTGTCATTGTCATTAGTCATTGTAGTCATAATTCTCGTTAATTAGTAAATTATAAATTTTTTCAAATATTTAAATAATTACGATCTCTTGGACTCCAGACATCATATTGAATAATTATGTGATGTGGTTTTTACAATGGGCAAGGTGCAAGATAAATCGTGTAACCGTGTGTTCGTGTAACATGGTATACTGTAACACAGATCGTATCAAATTTAATATAATTTTGAATTTAAATGAAAGTCGCGAACTACATATAAAGGACAATTTAAAAATTTGAAGTATTGCCGCCAAAATGCTAATGTAGTGATATGTGATTCTAATCAAATTCTGATTTGTTTAAATGAGCGATTTAATTGCCTCGTTACTTGGTTTATTATAACTATGAATTAAGCAACCCTTGTCCCTTAAATTTGTCTTCCGTCGTTTAAATTCTTCTTCTTCTCTAATTATTTTCAAAAGTTGGCGACATATGGCGACTTTGTTTCTCTATTTTGGCTACTTGATAAAGCTAATATCTGGCAACACTGATTTAACGGGACGATGCCAGTGCCCTTTATATCCTTCTTGACGTGACACAATTGGCATTCGAAAGGATACGATTATATGTAATTTATAGGACGGGGAAGAAAAATATGAGAGAAATTTATTTGTAGAACAGTTCCAGTTTTGTGGGTGTTTTGCAGTTTAGATTTTAGTAAATAAAATCAAATTTCGATCAGTAGTAACTAAATTCTAACCACTAATGAAATAAAATAATTAACTGAAAATTTCATTTAAGATATCTCTAAAGGTTTCTACACAATCAATTTTTTAATTTAAAGCCCCGAAAATGTTTATTACAAAAAATGAAAATTTTGAAAAACCGGTACCTATGATCAAATGGAAAATGGGGGGTCTATTTCCATACGTGAAGGGACGTTTTTTTTACGTGATTTTAGAAAACTTCGTGGGTGCCATACTCATTTGATGACTCGTTTAACCCCCGAACCTAAAATATCCAGCGCACACGTGCATGCGTTAAAGCAAAAAGTGCTCGAGTTACTTTTGAGGCTGACTAACTAGCGTTGAGCTAGCTTTGCCAGATGGAAAAAATAATTGACCAAGGGATTGTTATTATTTCTTGCAACATTACAAGATTTTTTCAAATATTTTATCGTGAACGAAGGCGAATGAAAAACGTTTTGTGATTGACGTAAGCTTCATGATTGTAGAAAAAATTCACTTATTGTTAGAGAGTGATAGAGACCTAGTAGAGGTTCATCCTCAGTTGATAATTTCGTGAGTACAAACGAACAGATAATGGTTAAAATTAGGATATTAATTTAATTATTACCATTTGATTTATTAACGAAATATAAACACGTTTTATAAATCAAGTATTAATAATTTTATCACCTACCATATCTAGGTGATGTCAAACATTTACATTTAGTGCAATGATATTGGAATGCAATCATAACATTCCTATGTAACGCACATTAAACAGAAACAAATTGTTGTTTATATTCTTCGAATTATATAAAGTAATATCACATAGGTATCGTAATATCAACTATTTTAATTATATATTATATTTTGACGATATTATTTCAAGAATTCCAAACAAAATGAATAAAAACTTAACTATCACAAATATTTAATAAATTATTTCAGGAATATGTTATATATTTTAGTTTTTAAATTGCAAAACATAAAAATAGTGTAAATAACAATACTAAAATAATAATCTTGTTTACAGTTTACATATTGGGTATATTTTTTTTCACCTACGTTACATAAAAAAAATGCAATACTCAACCGAATACATTGTAAGTATGTATATAATGTAAATTTTTTGGGTAGCCGTGTCCGGCGACTGAGATTCTCTAACACACTCTTACACACGAGCGTTGTTTTACCGATCGGCACGATTTTGTGTGTAAAGATGTATTTAACTATGTGTAATTTAAAATACCGTCCGTGTGCAAGAGCCGTAACGGCTTGATCTTAGTTTTCATATGGTACTTTAAATCTCTTCATTCTCTCATACTCACATACTAGGTACAACATACGACTTCATTCGTGAAAAAAAGCCGATAGTTAGACAGCCAGTCAAATTTGGAATGAAAATACTAGATGGCGACTCTCTTATAAAATCCCTGTCATCTTTATTTATATTTTCAACAAGGGTTGGTTGGTCGATTAGTTGTCTTGATTATATACAAACAAGAATAATAGACTCTTTTAGTGTGACGTCACATATTTAGGCAACCCGAAACAAATTATCATAGTTGAAATTGTACAGATAGAATCTGACCCTTGTTTACTATTTACACAGATACTATAGAAATGAACAACTTCAAATTAACTTATTTTTACAAGGATTTCGAAGTATTTAAGAACAGCCAACACGTTTTTCGTAAAATAGATACACTAATGTGCTTAAAATTTAAGTTATAAAAAAAATGTGATACAAAAGTTGCACAATTTTTTATGAAGTTTTCGAAAGTAATAGTGGAAAAACAAATGAAGTCCGAACAAAATGGCTGTGGATAAGTTTGTTAATTTAAATGGAACACCCTATATATTTTTACATACCTATTTGGATAGAACGTTCCCTGTCGAGCATAATCATACTATATGGTTTATTGGGTCCATCTCCAACAGTAAGTGAGATAATATTAAAAAACGAAAAGGTTTTTTATTAAGAAAATATGACATTTTGTAATTGTTAGACCTTTTTCAGGCATTTCTGTCTTTTTTCCAATTACGTAAGGATTTAGATTTAGTTGTAATACGTTTTGACATATCGGACATTGATATAGTCCAAAATACGTATAGGTATTTTAAGGAGGTTCGATACCGAAAAATTTTATTTTTTCATTTTGGTCTATCACCATTGCATGCAGACACTAACGCCTCTTTCACACGGACGTTATTGTGCCGATCGGTATTTAAAACGATCGGCAAAACAACGATTAAAACTTTAAATTGCACATAGTTAAATAGAGCTTTACACACAAAAACGTCGCCGTCAGGTCTGACGGTCGACTACCGACCGACAAAACAACGTCCGTGTGAAAGAAACGTAACGGTCGGTAGCCGACCGTCAGACCTGACGGCGACGTTTCTGTGTGTAAAGCTCTATTTAACTGTGTAATTTAAAATTTTAATCGTTGTATTGCCGATCGTTTTAAATACCGATCGGCAAAATACCGTCCGTGTGAAAGAGGCGTTAGGTATTCACAGAAAAAGCGACAATTTAAGTAAGGTGGCGTGACTGCCGTGTT